AGAGTGTGCAGTGAGTTTTCCATTTTGGTTGGTTGCAAGTTTGCGACCACTTCACATTCTTAAGTAAGCAGGCTTTCAATACTTTATCAAACACTTTGGTAGGTAACCAAAAAAAAATTAAAAATTAAAAATTAAAAATTAAGCACAGCAATCCGAACGACATGTCTTTGACGATAATGATTATCGGTCATGTTTCTTAAAAATTTCTGAATTCAAATATCATAAACGACAATTTGTTTGTTGTATTGTTAAATAGATAAATAAACAATTAGAGCTAGCAAAGAACATTGTTTTACCTAAATGTTGACGTTTGGTGCTTAATTTCTATGATTGGTTATTACTTATTACTCTTTTTTGGTTTTTTAAAGCATTTCACTGAAAACTTGCACTGAATTGTTTTGCTATCCCATTTAGTTAATTGAGACATTTACATGTATTCAAGTAAAAAATTGGACGAGAATTTTAGTACTGTTTTCATGTAATAGGCGCATATACTTATAAAGAGATTGAAAAGGAGTTGTTTACCTTTTTTTGCTCTTTTTGCGCCACCCAATATCACTGAGTCCAGGGGAGATGGAAATTAAAATTCTGTTGCGATATTTAGCGGGGTTTTTCTTAGCCGCCGTAAAGACTACGTTTAGCAACCATTATCGACGGTTTTTCTCGCTGCAAGTGTTCACAAATTGTCACTAAAAATGCAAGAACGCCGAAAAATGTAGATAAAAAGCAAAAACCGTCGTAAAAAACCATTTGCTTATGAGGGTGATTTTCTTTCTTTTACTTCCCATAAAATGCTACTGTCAATTTTGTTAGTCTGCAATAAACTTGATTCCACAAATAGAACACTTAAACTCCTCAAGGGAAAAAATTGAACATTTTGTAAATAACGTAGAATCTCAATCAATAAATTGAAACAATTAGGGGCTAATTCAACTCCTCTCTTGTATCATCAAACCATCACCTTTGCCTTGGAATAAATAAAATAGGCTAATCCCACTTAAGCCGCAAAGAGAAGCCAATTTTGTTTGGAGTAAATTCCACATTTTTATGCTTCTTAGTTTAATTCTTCAATTGCTATGATTTTAGTTTAGGGTTTTGAAATTTAATTATTGTACAGTATATATTAACATTTTCATGAAAAGCGACCTTTTGACAATTTGGTGTAATGTTAATTATGATTCATTCCTTGAAAAAAAAAATCTAAACTCAAATATCATGAACAATTTCTTCAGTGTTAATTTTAAAAAAAAATACAATTAGAGCTAGCAAAGCACTTTTTTTTCTTCTGTATTTTTTATCTTGTGGCCGTGGGACAGATATTCAGCTCACTAAACATTTTCAAGAATCGGAATCCGAGGATCAATACAGAAAATTAATGATGAAACACACTGCTAAAACTTAAGCGCACTTTGCATTACATAATCACAAAAAAAGAATTAGACTAAGCAGAAGTTACTTCTGTAGTATCAACATTGACAAAATGAGCTACAACTTTCTATACATTTTTGCTCTTCAATCTTGATATAACCAAAACAAAAAAAAACTAGGCTTAAGCTATGCATCTATCTAAGCCTGCTGCTAGGTTGCCTGGATAGGCATTGTAAGTGCATTAGTAAAAAATCTGCGGATCTCTGGTACAATACGATTTATCAGTCCGGGATACCTGAATATATTCATCACAACATTTCAAGTCACTATAATGCTGGACACAGATTCAACTAGATTAAGAGAAAGAGATGCACTACTTACCATGGTTTGGTAATCAATTTGTCAAACTGCTCCAAGATGAACAGAATGCATGCTTGCCTTAATGACATGGCATTGAAGGCCTCTGATAACTCAAACATGAGTGAAACATTTTCGATGTAGATGTTCTTGAGAAAGAAAATAAAAAGCAATCAGACTAAAACCAAACCGAAAACAAGGGTAATACCATCGAACAACTTTAATAGGTAACCCACCTGAGCAATGGCATGCTCGCAGAGGCGCTTGAGACCCTCCAAAAGATACTGATCAGCAGCTCTGAGGAGATCCTGAGCAATATCCAAATTGACATCTACAGATCCTGTGTATATGAATCTAGCAACAGACAGAGGACCATTATAACTATTAGGGATGAAACTGGGGTGCATTATTTAGCAATTTACTCATAAGTTCTTAGCCAAAAGGGAGGCAGAACTACCTACCTCATCATCAATTCAAAAACGTCCCATCTAATATTTGGAATCTCTACATCCTTAGCATCTCTCTCCTGCAATACATTGTTTCAATATGTTTAGAAAATAATTCATCCGTTAAAGGAATTGATTTCCCGTCACATTTTTAGTATCACTGTTGAGAAAAGAAAAACATGAGGAGAGGATTGGAATCAGAAGATCATCAATCAGTGGAAAAGGCAGATAATTCTTACCCTGTAACCACCGTCAAACATGGCACGGAATGCATCAGAAGAAGCAAGCAGACAAATTCTGTGGGCATAGAACCGTTTACCTGATAATAGTATAAAGCATACGAATTTATTACAGTACAGTAACATAAAAATATCAGTAACATAAAAATATCAATTAAAGTATTAAGTGACTGAACTATAGAAAAGGGCATGCAAAAGAATAATCCCCACCTTCAACTAAGAATGTGATGTCAGAAAGTGTAGGATTGTTTACGTATTTTTCACCCAAATACACCTGCAAATAGATCATGTCAAACATATCAGAACTGATTATCCATGCGAACAAAGTATCACACTCACCAACCCCATACAAGTATTTTAGAAAACTAAGCCTAGTATAGCAATCTGTAAATCTTGATTCAAGGCCAGCAGGGAGTCTTGTAAATATGAGTTCAATAGACTAATATCCACTAAAACTAAAATACATGTGTTCCAGATCATATTGCAGCCCTAGCAAACTTAAAGTGAACTGATTGGACACAAAATTAAAAACCTGTTGGGTGGGTGATGAAGGAGCTGGATCCAAATGGGAGAGTGAAGTGGCTTTTGTAGCCACTTTGTACAAGGCCAAAGAACCATCTTGTTTCTCCTTCAGGCTTGGAGATTCGAGAAGCCCTAAAAGCAACTCTAATCCTGCAAGAAACAAATTTGCAGAAAAACTCAAATTCTTGGAACCATATGTGGTGAAATTAGCAATATCATCAAGGCAAATAAAACAGGTTTTTTGCGAGACTAAGTTTTGTATTTTAAGGCACTTCGGTTTACAATTTTAAGCAGCCCACACTGAACCAAGCATGCTAGCATGCACACATGATAAGCTTTTGATGTTTTATGCTACTATGCTCTATCTGGCTGTTAATACTGGATAAAATTCCAACCTTTGTTATCAATAAAAATGGTTTCCTGATCACCAGGGTTACAAAGATAAGCAAGAGCCAAAGCCACTCGTTTTTGAACAGGCTTCTCTGCAGCCCGCATCAGATATAGTAGATTATTTAGAACCTGTGAAGAAAAAGCTGTTAAGGAATTTGGAACAATCTACATTGAGCATATCAAGTGAAATCAGCACAAGATGCAATCACTGGACAGCCAAAAGAAAAAGACTGTCCAAAGTGACAAAACTCACTTGTCCACAAATCTTCTCCTCTAATCTTTTCAATGTCTTTGCCACACAATCCTTAGTTTGCTGCACGAATGAAATATTACAATACAATAAGGCCAAAAAACTATGATGAAATAGATAAGGGGTATAACAATTCATGATCCATAAAGACCAACTTAAAATCAATAGACAAACTACCATATGAAGGTTCAAAGAAAACGGGAAAAAATTACTTGAGCAACAAATTCTCCATCTTGGAGTTTCTGAACACCTCCAAGCTTAATTAAAGCTGCAACATTATCCTACACAAGAAATCTCCAATTAGTCTCACTGTTATACAAGAATAAATGACGAGTAAAGGACAACTGCATTACAAACCGAACTTAAACAGGGAACAGAAAACTGTACCTCATTATCTGCAAGACCATACAGAGAAAATGCAGCATTGTGTTGTAGAGATCCATTTTTTGAATTAAGAAGCTTGAGAAGAGGCACTATACCACCATTATGAGCAATGCCAGCTTGGTTATGTGTGTCCTAATGTAAGAATCATTTAGGAATCTAGTAAGCTGTAAATTCCTTTGAATAGATAACAGCAAAAGATTATGATCACAAAAGCGAGCAAAGTTGGCAGTAGCTACATGACAGTACACCCAACAAGAGATGTAGCATTAATACCAAAATATTCAACTTGCATTACAAGGAGACATGTCCATGTATACTGCAAGCTTTTCTTATTCTATAAGTACAATAAGCTGAAAGCACCATAACTTAATAAGGATTTCTATCAAATATAGGAACAAAAACAAAAGTAAAAATGACTTCCAGGACGGTATAACAACCAGTCACCAATATGATACTTACAACTGTCCTCTTATGCTATTTCTACATATATGCATTATAAAAATAAAAAAATAAGAAAAAAAGATGACGAATCAGAGAAATAATAACCTGTGCCAACCTCCCAAGAGCAAAAGCTGACATCTCCCTAACCTGCGCATCAGGTGATTTAAGCATCTCAATTAATGGTTTTAAAGCACCCCTCTGAACTATATGTGCCTGCATGAACCAGATCTTCATAACATTAAACAAAATTCTGTATCATATGAAAAGAGGATGGGCATGAAACAGGTAGGATTTAACCAAAATGGTTTCCTATTCCACCTTGCAATCTGAATCAGCTGCAGCAAACTGACCAAGTAATAAAGCAGCTTCTCTTTGACTCTCCGTACAGATGGAACTGTCAATAAAGTAATGAAAAAAGAACATATAATTGTTTGAAAACTAGAACATATTCTTCAGATTACAACGACAACAACAGCAACAATATGATTATCCAGGAAAATTGAAAATGCTACAATATCAACCAATTGTAAAGTTCAGAATTACCTGAGTAATCCAATAACAGGTTGTAAAGCACCAGCAAGAAGAACTAGTTTCTTGATGCTTGCGGATGAGTGGACAAGATTACCAATTACTCCAACCTGATAAACCCCACAAAGTTTAGCATATGCTTACAGAAGGGTGGTGTTAGAACTCTCAAGACATGAGACAGGAAATATCAAATATAACTCAGAGCTCACCGCTTCAAACGTCATAGCTGCATCCTCAGATCGAAGCATTAGCACCAGGGTAGGCAGAGCATTGCACTCTACAATCTGGAATTTTGCAATTCAAATTAGCTAGCAGACTAGAGATGTCTAAATCAATCATATACCGTATCACAGGGAAAACTTAGGTACCTGATTTTTGTTTTCATCATTTTTAAATGCAAGGGTCCGCAGGGCGCCTGCAGCAGATATCTGTACCTTTGTGTTAAAGAAGTTAAGTAGCTCAACAAGAGGAGGGATTCCACCTTCAATCCTGAATTTCAAAGATATAACTTATAAGGAGGAATAAAACTTGATATTTATTTAATATGAGAATCAGTAAAGTAGAAATAAACAGACCTGACACGGGTCTTGATGCTGCTATTTTCATGAGCAATGTTAGCGATTGCATTAGCAGCTCTCCTAATAACACCATCAGCTGGTGCTGAGTCCCTCTTGTGCCTTTTTAACAGATCAACAAGATGCGGCAAAGCTCCAGCATCAACTATGAGTTGCTGATGCTCCGGCTTTATAACATGAAGACATAGAAAAAGATCAATCAATTAGAAAACAATAAGTGATCAAACAGATCCTTTGAAATCAAAACGAGAAACAGCTACCTACAAAGAGATCAACCATCTATAATGAACTGAAGGGCATGTTTTATCGATGCCAATATCTCAATTATTGAAAGAAGAGAAACAAGAAGAAGAACCACAAGTTAGTGTTTCAGAATTGCATAATATTAATGCCCTAGATGATTAAAACCCTCATAAGATTTACAGGACCCTAAAATATTGATTGCACATAGTACAAATTGATACAAAAACAGGTAAAACACCCTTGTTTCCTCTACTCTAAGATAAACTTCGAAATGATAAAGCAAGCACCGCCAGAGAGAATATACAGTGTTAAATTACCTTAACGGCAATAAGCCCGAGCGCAAAGGCACTGTCTTTCTCGACCTCATGCGTGTACGGAATCGGACTGTTATCGCCTCCTCTCTCCGGAGGCGGAGCCTGTAGATGCTTAACCAGGGCCGGAACTGCTCCACATTCTACTACGAGGTTCACATGTTCCTCTGCAAGCAAATTACCAAATGACCAAAGTTAAAAACCCTAAACCCCAAAAATCTCACACGCTTTCGTTTCGATCAAAGATAAAGAACCATAAACCCACAAGAACAGCCGTGGAAAAAATAATAAACACGCTACCGTTCTTGGCGACTAAAGCGATGGCACGAGTGGCAGTCTTGGCGGCGAGGCGATCTGCTTCGGAGGAAGAGAAGGTGGACTGGAGAGTTTGGACTCGGCGGCGAATCATACTTTCCAGATCTTCGCAAACGTCTCCGGGCTCGACGGCCGGGACCTTGAGATCGGGTTCATTTTCAGGCCCATCTTCTCTGAATTCTTCTTCGAGCTTCCGCTTCAAGCCTCGTCTGGTGGTGACGGTTCGCTTCTGGGAGTGATCCATGGAGGATGCAGAGAGGGTAAATTGGGCGACGCCGGGGGTGGGGGGGTGTAATAGAATGTGGTTTTTGGAATTTATTTGCGCTAAAAGAGTAAAGTGTGCGGTGAAATGTGGGTGTGACGATATTTATATCTGACAAGTAAATTTGAGCTCCCGCCCAAATAAGGTTTGAGATTCGTCAACAAAAGGCGCGCTCCCGCCATCGTGAATTTATCATTTATGTATGGTTTTGATTGTTTTTAGATTGGGCCAGGCCTTTTAATTACCTTGGGCATTCGTTATAAATTAAACAAATTGGGCGACCTTTCTTTCTTTTTTATCCTAGGATTAAATGGGCTGCCTTTTTTTTTATTGGGTCCCATTCTAGCCCATTTATTCCTTTGAGGGCTTCTATTAACACCTTAGCATAATTTAGATATTTTGTTATAAATTTTCTTATGCACCATCTCCAAATTTTGATTTGTACTACATGCCTGGTGGCGCTACACAAATGTTCTATTAGATGAAATTGTTTGATTTTTTTTATTTATTTATACAAAGGATAAGTTACGGAGGAATAATCGAACATAGAACTTCAAGTGCATAGTTTTAACCCCTTAAGCTACAAGCTTCTTAATCAATCGTCCTTAAATGGCTGTATATATCATATTAGGGTTTTTATCATGGATGTGTTTGGCATGAGCAAAGTGAGCAACCGCATAGGGACCCACATTAAATATTAATTTTCATTAATATGTTGTTGTAACTTAGTAATGATATCAGTTTAATATTCACTTTTCATTTGTCTTTCAGTACAAAATAAAGAAAGTTGGGTCCCGTAATAAATATTATTTTATTAATATAAGTTTATTATATTGGTATCGATTGCTTTGTCTTCTCTTATATTAATAGGATAATATCAGTGTTGATTTTCCTATTCCTTCTCCTATAATCGATCGTTTCTCCACTCTGATAATATTTCGATTGAGCTTTGCATACCTTAGGAACATACACCATGCAAACTCGCATTAGAGTTACCATATATTCTGATTTACATGTAAGGAGATGTAACTACTTGTAGAAAGAGCACAAAATTAGGAATGAATATGGACGAAGGTTTTGGTTAGGATAGAATAATGATAGAAGAGTGTTGAAGGTGAGATTTGAAGAGAGAGAAAATATTCATCACTAAAAAACAGAGTTTGCATTTGCTTCGCAAGTTGTATGTGCATTATAGTAATACTAGAGGACGCAATCTTGTAGTGGCAGTAATAAGAGATGTTGTTCCAGTCAAGAGTGGAGTGGGGCTGTCGGCGGAGCACCAAACTCTCACACTCACTCACTAAACAAGGAGTGATGAAACTTCCCGTGTGGTTCCCAAGAGAGAGTACACGATGATAAACATCACCATCAGCTCTCTCCTTCAACTCCTCAGATTCCCTCACAGTCACAGGCTCACAACCGGCCATTCCCATAATATATTTTTTTAAATTTTTTACTCCATAATATATTTGCAACAACGCAAGACTCAAGGGTTTTGTCGTCTCCATTCGCCAACACATAAATGACAAACAAGTCAACCTCATTCTCATCTACACCGTATGGGTAGAAAAAGGGGCCACACACGTTCGTCCTCTAACAATACTAATTATTAACAATTTTCTCTGCCTTAGTATCCGAGAGATCAATTTTTAATCACGCACGTTACACGCAACTTAAAAACATAATAACTTACACCGTATGTACCTGGTGTAGTACCCTTCATCCTCAGACTTTGAAGAGTCAAGGAGGTCCAAGCCATGCGATCCATGAACAACTGTTATTACTTCACGCATTGCTGGTTGCCATGTGAGGGCATGTACTGTTGAGTAACAATCCAACTTAATTGTAGGGGCCCTTGGTAAATTCAAATACAATCGGACAGGACAGTACTATATAGTACTAGCCAGTGCTAGCTGTACCCTGCACTGCACTTGCAGTAGTAGTTGGGAGATCTCTATCCATCTCCAATCCAACCAATCACATCCTTATGTTGTTACTTTGAGAAGCTGATCCAAAGATCGTTTAGGTGAAATTAACTTTTAATTAGTCTTTGATTATGCTGCATTGCATGTAATTAAGAATCTGTCCATGAAATCCAAAGAAGATATTTTTTCAGAGTCCCACAGTCGATTCGATCATGAGTACGTAGGATTAAATCTAAAGTAATTAGTCATATAATTAATGACTTCAACGTCAATGGTTTGACTCAAGAAATTAGTTGTTGGAACCTTTGAAAAGTTGCACCATTAAAATATGTGCACAGGGAGGAGCACATCTGATCTGAGTATTGTGGTGGTCAACCAACGCATGCATGTGAGCCACATGTCCACCTTACGATGAAAGCTGAAGCCACAAACCAAAAGATGTCCAGACATGGAATTCATCAGAGCAAGTAGACCATTGCATTGCATGGATGGATACATATGAATCTCTGCATAAACACAGACAGCACAAAAGAAAGAAATGGGAGGAAATGGAAGCAAATTAAACGTGGGGTTTTCACTTTTTATCTGTGGCGGTGGGGTCTTGTATTTCTCTCTGTCTTGTGGAATCTCTCGTGACAACTGATTCTGCAAATTTTAATTTGGTTTATGTATAAAAATGCTATAATTTTAATATGTCACCCACTAGGCCGGTCGTGAGATTTAACAATTATAAATTAAATTCATACATTTTTTAATATTTTTATTTTATAAAGTTAAATGTTAGTGTGTTCGGGTAACAAACTCCACCAAATACATTTTTGTGTCAATGTACTACATGGTGGAGTATATATATAAATCAATCGTTACTTACACCATGTCAAGACCGCCCCGTCTAGCATAAAACTTACTATTTATCAATCAAACATTTTTCTGGATTTTAGTTGCGACTTGCAGTAAGAGATTCCAACATATATAGTATAAAGGCTGGAAATATACCCCATCCATGTACCCATCAATCACTTCCTCTCGAATTTGGATGACAAGTACTTTGGCTCTACTATGTCAAGTGGTTTGATATATATTCACTCATTGTTACTACAAACCCTATGCTAAAATATTATATATATTCATTATTCATACCTGGTGCGAAGAAAAAATTTGACCCTTATATATATTGAAACTACTCATTTTTCCTTACAGATTAATCACAGTGTGACGTACATATGAAAAAATAATCCGTTAAAATTGTAAAATGACAAATTTATACAGATGTTAAATGTAAGGAGGTAAGTATTTTTTTTCTATACTGCCGATAATGCCATTTATAAACTCGAACTCCACAAAAATCAACGACCGACTACTTTGATCATCAAAATGAGGATTGAATTGGTTTGTGGCTTGAAATGTGGTGTGGTGTACGACATGTACTTCCGTCCCATACGCATGCATGCATGCAAATTCAGAAAGGAATTGATTATGAAGCAGAGGGATTGCAGTGCTACGATCTGTGGAAAGACGAATAAGTAAATGTAAAGACAACGACAAGGCTGCTTCGTCGTACGTGATACTGTAGACGGAAGAAGAAGAAGAAGAAGAAGACAAAAATACTGAAATGAGTGGGGGAGCTTATATAATCACGTAAAAACCAAGCAGACAATATCTTATCGCAATCTATATGCTTTTGATTGAATAGTACCGAGGGTTCCAGAGAGAAAGATGCACACGTGTACATGAGATCTGAACTGGAAAACATGGAGGAATGGGCACCGTCTGATATGGTCTGGGCCTAATCACAGAGACCTAGCTGCTCTGATGCTGCATGCTAGTCACTTTCCCTTCTTTTTTGTTTTTGGTCTTATATTTTGCTAATATATATTGAGTTCTTTTTTTTTTCTTTTTTTTTTTTATGAACAAAAGTTTAGGAGGAGGAGAGGCCACTCTATTCCAGAACCTTTTTCAATTTTTATAAATTACTCACAAAAAAAGATTGTCGGCAGCGGACTTGACATATATTGAGTTGAGAACTCACTCATTTAATACTTTACGCTCATATTTTCAAAAGAAATTGTAACCAGGATAAGAGGGTCTTTAATAGTCATCCGACCAAATTTTTTGCATCCATGCACTCCCATCCCACTCAAGTTTTTCTTGAATACTAAGAACGATAAAGCAACAAGAAAATTCAATATGATACAGATAATATTCAATGCATATGGGAGCTCAAAATATCAACATGCAAGAAAGAAACAACCACCCAATTCCAATAGTATTTAAGTGAGGTGCCACAGGAAATGCCTAACAAACCGAGAGCGACACCAGCGTATGGGCATGAATAAAATTGCACCAATAAAGTTTGCATAAACGTGTTATTATAGAGGTAAATGAATTGAACCAAGCAGGGCCCAGCTGCGATGAATCTGGGCTGGTTCATGACTGAATTGATTTCGTTGAACTAATCTAATGTCCTTCCGTTTTGAACAGGGTTTTTACCACCCAAGGCCAAGAGCATACGCGTTTTCATGTACTTTTTCACAAGAAACAACAAGAACAATAATAATTAACAACAAGAACAAGAACAAGACAATTTACATTATATCTGGCCCCGCTGAATAATTATAAAATTGAAATTAGCTCATTGAAGCAATCAAAATGGATAGTTGCAGTAATGGTATGGGAAGATTTATCTTGAGTCGCTCTCTAACAAAACAAATATTTATTACATTTAATTTATGAGATATTTTTTCCCAGTTTTTTTTAAAAAAAATTTAATGGCAGGGGTTGCTCAAAATTTTAAAGGAGAAGGTCAGAAGAAAAGGATTTGTCTTATTTATTTAGGTGTCATTCTGCACAGGCTAGTTAAAATTGATCAGACAGTCGCAGGAAAAGCTCTACAGAGATGTTAATGGTGTAGGTGGAGCCCTGAGCCTCACCTTCAATTCCTCATGCATAAACGCATATCATCTGGTACTTTGACAGAAAGGTAATAATAATCACTAATATCTAATGATCTTTCTTAATGGGTTAATATTTCGACACAAACAATATTGGCGAAAGGGATTCAAACATAAATAACTTCGCATGCAGAGGTAACTGATGTTAACAACTTAACTACAAGTCCTTTGAGTAA